AATGGAACGTTGCAAGCTGGCAGTGTTGTCCTCGTTTAGTTTTAACCCTCGAGCGCATATCAAACGACTGCACTTCTCTTAATTTACGTGGTAAATGGAAGCAAACCAACCTGCAACGATCGATCCTCTTTCCGAGTCTGAGTTCATTGGCAGTTCCGCGTAGAAATAGAAACTGATGAGAGTGCTCACTATCGTTGAGAAACCGATCAACAAAATGCAATATCGTCTGCAAGTCGGCCATGACATCCTCCAGAATGAATGATACGGAGGGTCTGTTCGGCCTTGCCACCCGGGGTAAGAATTCATGTTCTCTGGCGGTGAATAGGTTTTAAATGATCTTTTAGACGGGATCAATAGTCGTCACGAAGGTATGTATATGAACAAACAAATTGAATAGAGCGTTGCAAGCCAGCAGTGCTGTTTTCATCTAATCAGCCCTTAGGCGCTTATCAAATGACCTCACTCTCCTTAATATACACGATAAATGGAAGCAAACAGACTCTTCCTCGCAAAGCAACAAATCGCGCGTGTTCACGGACTCGGAACGTATCAATAGTCGACATAGATTACGGTCGCTTTGTTCGATGGTTGTTTCTTTCCAAGTCTTGTGATTGTCTGGGCGATCGATGTAGATGATATTATTTTGAAGGATGCAAGTGGCCTTTCGAAGAGCACAAAAGAATTGGATAGTATACTTTCATCGTGTCATTGCTATCTCGGTGATCATTTGAAGTACTCGCCTTCCTGTAAGCGTTTTTTAGAGCTTCAACTGTACTGTTAGTGCAGTGTACTTCCAATTTTGGCAAAAATTTAAAGTTTACAGAAGTTTATGTTTTCTTTCAAAAGTTGTTTTTGACATGAGCCACAACCGGCAGGGCCAATTAACAAAATAAAAAAGGTCAATTTCGAGTAAAGAAAAGAAAGGCAACGCTAATGCTAGAGATGTAGTAGCTCCATCTGGTCAGAAATGGAGGAATAAATATGGATTTTACTAGAGTAAGAAGGTCTTTTTAGTAAAAAATCACTTTCATTTATCATTTCAACTGCACAACAAAATCGTATACACTCTTTGTAACCTTATTCTCCAACCTATTAAGTTACGAGAGTTGTGTGACAATTCGATGATCTGAAAAGGCTCTTATACATGCCAAACAACAGAGAACCAGTAAGGCTGATATTTAACAGTAAGGATAAAAAACAAAATATTTCCAAAAGCCTTTTCTTATAAGGAATAAAACTAAATGAGGTCAGATTAAACTAATGTGGAGAGGTTTGTTGATCTCTTTATGAAAATGGATTTACATCTATCAGATTTTAGAGAAATGAGACTCGTGTAAAAAGGGGACTTTGACATTGCCTATTCTGCAGTAATGGGCGTTGGCTTGAATGCCTATTTGCGGAAATTAATAGTTTTCAAGCAAGGGATTTGGCTGTGCTAATTTTAAGGCAGAAAAATCATAAATCAGTCACTTAAGCTTATAGCTCTGACTGGAAGCTCAAACACTCTTAAGGAACAGG